CCCCCCCCCCCCGGCTCCTGGCCCTCCACTCTGCCTGGCTGGTCACCGATGCCCTCTGTCCCTCCCCTCCAGAGGCACCCGAGTGCCCTGTCTTTTCGCTGCTCGCTGGCTGACTTCCAGATCGAAAAGAAGATCGGCCGGGGGCAGTTCAGCGAGGTGTACAAGGCCACCTGCCTGCTGGACAGGAAGACGGTGGCTCTGAAGAAGGTGCAGGTGAGCCAACAGCCCCACGGGGTCAAGACCGCACGGCAGGAGTGGCTCGTGTCCGAACCTTGTAGCTCTGGGCTAGTCCCGTCTCTTCCCTTCCCTGCCCTCCTCCCTCCCTCCTTCTCTCCGCCCCCCTCCCCCTCCCCTCCCCTCCCCCTTCCTCTGTAAATGAGGGAAACTAGTACCCATCTCACTCAAGGGGCTGTGGGAGAATCAGGGCGACTTGTCTTTGTGGAAGCTCACTGTAAGCCATAGAGGAAAGGAGGAATGAGCATGTGCTGAGCACCTGCTGTATATTGGATCATGCTGGAGCTCACGGAACTTTGACAGCACCCCTGTGGGTAGGGATTATCATCCTCCCAGAGGAGGAAAACTGCAGACACGTGGATAACTCACCAGGAATGGAGGGAGCTGAGACTCAGATCTGCGGCCACTGACGCTTGTGGTCAGCTCTGGGCTTGAGTGCCCTGCCCAACCTCTGAGTCCCTCCTGAACGGAGGAGTGGCGTCGGACAGATGGGCTTTAGGCAGCAAAGCCCAGGCAGGAAGCTTTTCCATGAGAGCCACTGAGCCCGTCTGAACACTGCTTTGCTGCAGGAAACGGTCTCGAATCCTCCAGCAGAGCTTCCAGGGTCCCTCTATTTGCTCATTTACCTTAAAGAATGAGATTAACAGCCTGGGCAGAGGAGGCCCAGGAGAGAGAAGGTAGCTGAGACACAGTCACGAGGTGGGGAGACAAGATGAAGACCCCCCGCCTGGAGCCGGCCAGCGTGATTGCCTCCTTGTTGATCTGTGAGCTGCACCTGAGGCCTCTGATGGCCGGAGGAGAGATGGGCTCCTCGGTTCAGAAAAGGCCTGTGTTCTGCTCTTTGTCTGCCAAGGAAGGGCTTACCTGGGTTCTCTTGGTGTTGGTTTTTAGTGCCAGGATGGGTTCTGTGGTGGGGCTGCTGCAGTGTCGCCCTCCTGTTTGTTCCTGTGAGTTAGAAGATGCTGGGAGGACCCACACAGTGAACACTAGAGGGGCTGGGGGTCAGGGGGCGCATGCTGTACCCCCTCTTCTTACTCGGTCCACGTGACTGTCCTGTGAGGTCAGGCTGTTGGCCCCATTTACAGACGTGAAGACTGAGGCTCCAAGCATGTTTCCTGCCACTTACCAGTACGTGACCTCAGCAAGTCACTGGACTTCTCTGGACTTCAGTCTCCTCCTCTGTAAGTCGGCGACAGTAACTCCTGCCTCATGGGAGTTGCCGTGATGATTTGGTGGAAATTGGTCAGCACAGCACCTGGCACGTGGTGGGCACCCAGTAATACGAACTGTTGTCCTTACAGGGTTCCCTCGGCGAGGAGGTAGGAGAACCCGGACTGGGGTTCTGGGCCTCGTGCCCCCTTGTGCTGGGTTTTAACCACTCTTTCTCTGTTTCCTCTCACCCAAGATATTTGAGATGATGGACGCCAAGGCCCGGCAGGACTGTGTCAAGGAGATCGGCCTCCTGAAGGTGAGTGCCCTGGGCAGAGCGGGGGTCCCTCACTTCCTTGGGCCAGTCTGGGTCGCATCATGTCCATCACAGCCCTCAGCCCGTTAGATTCAGAAATGACATACCAGCGGGGGACAGCAGCTTGTTTGTTTTCTTGTGGCCTGGCAGGGACCCTGCCTCACCTCTGCCCAGTCCTCATGCTGCCCCCAGACTGGCTGTCCTTGTCCCAAGTGGATCCTGGATGTGGCGGCCCGTGGACCAGGCTACTGGGGAAGGAGCGAGGGTGGGCGTTGGGTTGAACTTCAGTTTGTCTATGTCTCCCTCTCTGTCTCATCCTGTCTTTCCTCTCAGTCTCGTATTTTTGTATTTCCACGTGGTGACACGCACATCTGAATATTCAGCCACAGTGTGTTCTCTTTTCTTCTCTCCTATCCTCTTACTCCCACCAGGAGATGCTGTCTGTTGGGGAGACTCAGCAAAGCCAGCCTGGGGCACTGGGTAGAATTAACAGCCAAGCACATGGCCCTGGGTTCTGGCTGCTGGAGGGGCCCAGGGCCCCTGAGTTGTCAGCCTGTTGGGCTCTTGCTAGATCTCCCACAAGGAGGAGGCACAGTTGGGGATGGGTCTCCCCAGGGGGTAGCTGGTATGCCCGCTCCTCTGTGGGCAGAAGTCCTTGGTTCCGCCAGAGCTCGGCTGACTGGACAGGGTCGTGTGAAGGACAGACGTGCAGGGGCCCATCTAAGGCGAGGGATGGTGGTGGTGTCTGTAGTCGTTCCTTTCCCCCTCCCCGCTGGCTTCCCCACTGGCCTCCTGAGAGTCAGAGATAACAGAACTTTCTGGACTAGACCAAGCCTGGTCTAAGGGCTGCTCTCTCCTAGGGATCCCTCCCTACTCCCCAGGCTTCAGATTCATTGTGGAAGGAGGGGGGCAGATTGTAGTGGCCTTGAATGCCACACTCAGGATGTGAGACTTGAACATGGGAACAAGAGGGGACCCCTGTGGTGGCTGCGAGCAAGGGGCCGTGGCCAGATGGGAGTTGTGAGTGCTCGCTGGGGTGGCCCCTGGCCACGATGGGTCCTGGGGGCAAGGCTGGAGGCGGGAGGCTTGTAGCTATCACAGGTCCAAAAATACCCTTCAAATAACATTTTTAAAGTTTTACGAAATGGTCAACTTCGGGGCCTGGTTGTGATGCTGGGAACTGATTACCCAGCCCTGGGGAACAGCTGTCATGATCACCCTCCCCTGTCTTCCCACTTGTGGCCAAGAACATGTGTACTACTCACACGAGTGAGGAACTGTATGCGTGTGCACACTGAGCCAGGCTGTTCGGTTCCTGGGCGCAGAAGTGTGTGACCACAGCCCCTTTGGTGAGGCCGCCCCAGGTGGCGTGAACCCGGCCTGCCTGGGGGAGAGCGTTCTGACCCTCCCCCAGGCTGTAGTGCCGCCAAGTGCGGTTGGCCACGGGCTTCGGAGGCAGACCCACCCCTTGCTCACTAGCTGTGGGGCTGTGGGCAGGCTGCTGACCGCTTGGGGCCTCAGTTTCCTCATTTGTCAAAGAGGGTGATGACAGCAGTGCTGTGTCTTCAGAGGGGTTGGTGGAATTAGTGAGAAGATGCATTGGAAGGACTCAGTGTAGCGTCCGGTCAGAGGCAGCCCTCGTTGCCATGGTTATAACCTCTGCCCCAAGGCCAGCCCCTTTCCAGAACTTGACCCACCTCCCCGGCCTGCTTGTGGAAGTCAACAACAGGATGTGCCAGGGCATGAGGTGTTTCCTACAAAACAGAGGGAAACACGGTTCTCGGAGGGGCCACTGGGCGACATCGTTCATACCGTTCATGCCAGGACCAGTGAGAGGCTGCCAGGCGTGGGGCAGGAAGGCGAGCCCTGTAGGAGCCTCCAGGGCTGGCTTAGGGAGAGAACAAGAGGCGGATGTGTGGCTGTGTGATGTCTGCCGACGTTCCCCTCATTTCAGAATCCAGGACTGGGTGGAGGGCAGCATGCAGCATAGATGCACGTCCCTTGCCCAGCAACCTTCTGGGCCTTTGGGAAAATGTGCTTTCAAGTGGCCTCTGGAGGGGAGCCCCTGTGGGCAGGCGACCATACTGCGGCAGAATATTTGTGTCCCCTGTGCCTTCCCCAGATCCTGGAATCATTTTGGTGTAAACAGTTTCAGTTATAAGCAGTTGCCAGGGTCTCCTGTTAGCCAGGCAGGGGCTGACTTCCAGTCAGTGGGGTGCTGTCCTGTCTGGAGAACACACGGGCGACAGTGATCGGGCCAGAGGCAGGGCTCTGGCACTGAGCACCGCACTCAGGGCAGCTCTCACACCAGGAATGATGTTTTTTTTTTTCAAGATTTCACAAAGAGTGGGTCAGGAGCTTCCCTGGTGGCGCAGTGGTTGAGAATCTGCCTGCTAATGCAGGGGACACGGGTTCAAGCCCTGGTCTGGGAAGATCCCGCATGCCGCGGAGCAACTAGGCCCGTGAGCCACAACCACTGAGCCTGCGCCCCTGGAGCCTGTGCTCCGCAACAAGAGAGGCCGCGATAGTGAGAGGCCCGCGCACCGCGATGAAGAGCGGCCCCCGCTTGCCGCAACTAGAGAAAGCCCGCGCGCAGAAACGAAGACCCAGCGCAGCCAAAAATTAATTAATTAATTAATTAATTTTGAAAAAGTGGGTCAGAAATGGAGCAAGTGGGGAGGAAGAAGGAAGGAGATGGACACTTCTAAGTGCTCTGTGGAGTGCAGCGACAGAGCAGTGGGGGCCCGGACCCGCCCTAGAGGGGCCTGGGTGGTGAAGAGGAGGGTCATTTCCACAGTGTCTCGTGAGTCTTAGCTCTGTGCAGTCACCATGTCAGACATTTCAAGGGTATCAGCCCCTGTAATCTTCACAACTTCTCTCCAAAACATTATGTCCATTCTGCAGAGGAGGAAACTGAGGCTCGGGGATGCAAAATGGCTTTCCCAGTGTCACCCAGGTCTGCCTGACTCCAAAACGCAGGCCTTTCCCCCCAGATACCCCACCTCTCCAGCTGTACCGCCTCTCAGGGGCTCCCTACTCCCTCTTTCTCTCTCTTCGGACAGCAACTGAACCATCCAAACATCATCAAGTATTTGGACTCGTTCATTGAGGACAGCGAGCTGAACATTGTGCTGGAGCTGGCAGACGCGGGCGACCTCTCGCAGATGATCAAGGTGAGGGCGCCTGGTGGGGGCCGGGTCGGGGGCCCCTCCTCCGACTGGGTTCCTCACTGCCCTGGCCTCGGGCAGAGGTGGCCGCTGCGGGGCACTCAGCCCCCCTTGCCGATGCTCACAGGCCTCAGCTGTGGCCCCTCTTGGGTCCCAGCCCCACTTGCTGGGAGAAGGCCAGCTATGGACAGTGGCTCGTGGGCCACTTCTGCCTTTAGAGGGATGGGGACAGAGCCCCATGGAGGTCGGACCCCACCTCATGGAATCTGGGAAAGTGTCTTGTGGAGCCAACTGGCTCATTTTATAGAAGGGAGAACTGAGCCCAGAGAGGCTGAAAGACTTGCCTGAGGATCCCGCACATGGGGACAGACTAGTACCTCTGGCCCAGGTCTCTACTTCTGGCCTAGGGCCCTCCAGTGGACATCATCCCCCAGGTGACCTTCCTGAGGCCCCTCCAGCCCTGGAGAGGCATCTTCCTTCCCACATAATGGCTGAAGCTGGGGTTCTCGGAGAGGTTGGGCAACTTGCCAAGTCCCACAAGCAGTTCCCAAACTGCCCCGCCCCCCTTGCCCCACTTCCTTGGACCCAGGACCAGGTCCGCCTGAGTCTGCACTCGGGGACCATCACGGCTCCACTGATGGGCACCTACTGTGGGCCACAGCCCTGCTGAGCACATGCATCACTCACCAAGTCCACATCGTCCTTAGATAGCAAAGCTCAGAGAGGTTTAGTAACCTGCTTGAGGCAGCACAGCCTCTAAATGGGACCCCCGGGCCTGAGCTCTCAGCTTCACTCATTGCTCCTTCCTTAAGGTTCTCACTCCCCTGCTGGCTAGACCCTCATCCACAGACCGCTGTCCTGGGGTTGCATCGCCTCCCTCCCAGGAGCCCAGTCTGTCCGTGAGCCAGGCTGGGCCACGCTCAAGCCCACACCCTGCTCTCAGCCACACTTGCAAACGGGGCCAGACATGGATTCTCTGCCTTTCCCACCAGGCACTGGGGATTGAGCAGTTAATTGCTCGGCGCCTGCTCTTCTGAAATTTGGCTCCTAGGAATACGGGTGTCTCTGGGAAGCGGCGTTACTTGAGCTGTTATCACCTGTTTTTATATTTTCGTTGACATATTAATGCATTTGCAGGGATGTTAATCTCCACACAGATCCCTGGTGGAAACAGATGTGCTATATCATGTCTTACTTCTTCCTCTCCCCCCCCACCCCCACCCCACTTTGTTTCTCCTTCCCATGCCATTCTCTCACAGAACACGCATGCATCCAGCACCCACCATGTGCCCATCCCCATGCTGAGACCTAGGGATGCTGCTGGCGGGGCAGTGCCCTCAGGGAGCTCACCTTCTAATGGGAGGGCAGGGCTGTGAACGAGCAGTCATGAGCTGCCATGAACAAGCCAAGTTCAGGGTCTATGGGAGCCAGGGAAGGCTTCCTGGAGGAGGTGACACATGAGCAGAGACCCATGAGGGGATACCCATAGCCCAGAGGCAGAACAGCATGTGCCAGAGCCCAGAGGGATGGAAACCCAGGGGTCCACAAAGTACTTTGGTCCAGTAGAGCACTGGGCAAGGGGAGGGGTGGAGAGCGTGAGGCGGAGGGTGGTCGGACCAAGCAGGGCCTCATGTGCAGGCTTAGGATTTGGAACCTTGCCCTGAGGTCAGCAAGAAGCTTCCTGAGACTTGTGGTACAGAGTAAACATGATCAGCTTTGTGTTCTGGAAGAATGACTGGATGCCCAGTGGAGGGAGGGGCGGGGCTGGGGGGAGAACAGCGGGAGGAAAGACCCTGGAATATGGCCTGTGGTGAGGGTGCTGCACCCTGTCAGTCCCAGTGGACCCCAGACCCCCTCACAGCCTCTCAGTCCATGGAGTGGGGCTGGAGTCAGACAGTGGGGTAGGGGGTGCTGGGCAAATTACAAATCCCTCCCCTCCCTGAACCTCAGTCTCCACCCCTGTCCCGGGGGCCTCACAGGGGACGGCCGTGTGGGAGCTGCGGGACCCGGATGCAAGCTGCTTCCAGCCAGGAGAGACAGGAGGGAGGCACGTGGGTGTCCAGCACCCTTTGTGCCTGGCCTGGGGTGGGGTGCCTTCCCTTCACCACCTGCCCCTTCCCAGGCTTCCCTGGGGCCAACCCTGGCTCAGGGTTCAAGTCGGTCACTCCCCCCATGGGTTTCGGGCGCCTCAGGCCCTCCTGTCCCGGGAGCCTTTCTCCTCACCTGGCCTGGCACCTCCCCTCCCTCGGTCACGGGGCCCCTCACCCTGCCCTGCCCCTCCCTGAGCCTGTTCCCCCTGCTGTGGCCCTTCACCTGCAGAGCCTGGCTGGGTGCTGTCCCCAGCAGGCGGGACAGGCAGGGCAGGGCAGTAGAAAGACCCTGGGCCCAGAGTCAGATACACCTGCTGGATGACCTTGGACGGGTCCCTGTGCCTCAGTTTCCCTGTCTGTAATGCACCCAGCACAGTGCCTGGGGCCTGGTAGCAGCTTGGTTTCTCTGGCCTTTCCCACTTTCTAGCCACCTCTGGATTTTGAGGGGAACAGGGGCCTTGCCAGGGCTCAGTCTGGGGCCATACCAAGGTCTGGCCTGGGAGGCCAGTGGCCAGCAGACCCTGAGTCCCTAGGGCCCCCAGCCTCAGGGGCCAAGCAACACTACCAGGGCCATGGTGCCAGCATTATTTACGGTGGATGGTGAAGCTGGGAGCTGCTGCCACCCCGGAACCCACCAGAGACTCTGCGCCTTCCTGCTAAATGTCACACACACCAATAGGACGTGACATTTAGAAAGTCACGGCTCACAGCCGTGCACATCCCCACTTAAATGCTCTAATGAGGATAAGCTAACATCATGGCCTAAATAACACCCCAGCCCGGCCCACCGCAGAGGTCTGGGGTGGCCCAGGAGGGATGGGGGTCCTGTGCTGGGGGGTCCGTGCCAGGAGCTTGGGGCAGATCACACATGAGGCTTCCTCCGAGAATGGAGCCTCTTGGGGCTGTAGTGCCAGGCCAGGGGCTTTCCGCTGTGACTGTCCCAATGTTGGAGGTGCCCACATCCAATCCCAGCTCTGCCGCCCCTGCTGGGTGACCCTTGGCAAGTTCCTGAACCTCTCTGATCTTGATCCTTCATCAGGTGGTTACTGGTGTCCTTAGAAATGGGTTAAGAACTTGGGTTTCCTGAGTGGAAGGCCTGGGGTTGAGCTGTTGTGACTCTGCCCCTTACTAGCTCCCACGTGGCCCTCAGTTTGCTCATCTGTGAGATGGGTGCAGTCATCCCTGTGTGGGGCCCAGCACAGACACTGCATGTGACATGTGCCTAGCAGAGGTTAGCTCGAGTCCCACCTTCTACCCCATGCCCCATCCCAGGCTGGGAGTGTGCCCTGGGTCCCCGTCTTCCCTGTGCCAGTTCGGCTGCCCTGACAGAGGGGCCAAGGCTTCTCCCCTGGCTGCTTTGGAAAAAGATGGTTGCTCTGAAGGGAACAAAAACCTGGTTTCAAGGTACTGGTGTGTGAGTCGTGCCCCCCGACCCACACAGGCCTGGCTCACAGGAGATCCCCCAGAGGGATGCTGGTCTGAACAGTGGACGAGGGCATGTTCCCAGTTTACTTCTTCCAGGACCTCTGGTTACTTACAGCTCCCTCAGTGCAGCCTGGGTGGCTTTTGGCTTTTTGGTTTGTTTTTTTTCTGGAGCATTATGTATGATTTTCCAGGCAACAAAGTAGGTTTTGCCTGTCGAAACTGAGGGGGTCCATTTGAGAATGTCAAGCCCACTTCCTTGAGGTTCTTGCCATGCTTGTTAATGGTTATGTATGCTGAGGTTTGCTGGCTCCAAGGAGGGGAGCTGTGATTTAACCACCAAGCATGTCTTGGGTGCCCCCATCCTGGGCCAGACCAGGGCCAGGGCAGAGAGTCCACACCAGTCACTCCTGCAAGGAACTCCCTGTCGGGCAGTGGGAGGAGATGGATGCGTGTCCAGGAGATTCCAGGGAAAGGGTGATTGAGAGTAGCCTTCAAAATGTGGCCTGGGGGGACTTCCCTGGTGGTCCAGTGGGTAAGACTCTACGCTCGCAATGCAGGGGGCTCAGGTTCAATCCTTGGTCAGAAAACTAGATCCCATATGCATGCCATAACGAAGATTCTGCGTGCCACAACTAAGACCCGGCACAGCCTAAATAAATAAATACTTTTTTAAAAAAAAGAAAAAAAATGTGGTCCAGGCATTCCTTCAGCAAAGCCGTCCAGGACATCCGCTTTGGGTAAGGTCTGCCCTGCCCTTAGGGAGCCCGATGCTGATGCTGGTGGCGGACAGATGACCGCTGGGGCTAGGACGGGGCCAGTACCCTACAGCTGCCCTCCCTCTCGGCCCATCACCCAGGCCTGTCCATGTGTCTGTCTCCCCCACTGCAGTATTTCAAGAAGCAGAAGCGGCTCATTCCCGAGAGGACAGTGTGGAAATACTTTGTGCAGCTGTGCAGCGCCGTGGAACACATGCACTCCCGCCGGGTGATGCACCGAGGTACGTGCTGACCCGCCGGGGCCTCGGGGCCCAGAGCCAGCAGGGAGGCTGGACCCCAAGACGCAGCTTTCCCCTCGGCTCCGGGCTTCTTAAGGGACAGCCTGGAAGTTGGACCCCTTTGTATTCCCCATCCAGTGGGTGTCCAGCATCTCGCCTGTCCTCATGGGGTCAGAGAATGGGCGTGTGAGGCCCCAGGCTCGAATGTACACCCGTGCCTCGTGGCTCTTGCCCCTGTCAGGGGCCCCCCATGGTGGGAGCACCAAATACCATGTAGTTCCCAAGGACAGGGACCATGCTCGGCACATACTCTCTAGCCCCCAACATCAGCCTGGAGCCAGCACAGAGGGGGCCGCAGGAAGGGTTGGGTGGAGAGACTGGGAGGGAGGTGACCGAGTCATGGCCAGTTCCAGTAGTGCCACCAGCTCTGCCTGGGAGGGCAAGGAAAGCATCCTGGAAAAGAGAACTTTAATATGGGCTTTGAAGTCTTAGTAGGAGTTGGCTGGGCAGAGGAGGTAAGTGTTTCTGAAAGTTGACATCTTCCTGAACTGTGAGGAAGGAGGCTGCTGGAAGGAGTCACGTAGATGACTTCACTGATTCCTCCATACATTCATTCCAGCTGCATTTATCAGTGTCTGCTGTATGCGAGGCATTGCCCTAGTCACTGGGGAACAGCACAGGTTACCTCCCTGAGCGCCTCCTTCATCTGTTACACAAATTTTCTCAGAGTGCCCGCTCTAGCTGTAAAAGAGGAAACGAGCGCAAAAATCCCTGCCCTCCTAGACCTCACAGCAGCCCTGTGACGTAGTGAAGTTAGACCCATTTCACAGATGAGGAAACTGAGGCTACGTTTCTCAAGGTCCACAGCTGGGCAGAGGCAGGGCTGGGGCCTCGCCCTGAGGGAGCAGGACTGGCTGCTAAGCCCCCATCACCTGAAGGGCCCTCCCCTCCACCCATCCCCAGGCCGCCTCCTCCGTCCTGCCTCTCCCCAGCCATCCCCACCTCTGATCCCACACCAACCCCTGTCCTTCCCCTGCAGACATCAAGCCTGCCAACGTGTTCATTACAGCCACGGGCATCGTGAAGCTCGGTGACCTCGGCCTGGGCCGCTTCTTCAGCTCCGAGACCACTGCAGCCCACTCCCTAGGTAAGGGGCCTGTCCACGCCCAACCCCCCGCAGGGTCCTGGATGGCATGGGGAGATGCGGGCCCTGTCCCCATGGTGCCTTTGGTTGGTTAGTGCAGCAAAATGCCTTGTTGAACCCCAGACATTCTTCTTCAGAACAGTGACCAGAGGGGAGTAAACCATGGCCCCGAGGAGCCTGGGATGGGGCTCCCCTGCATCCTCACGCGCTCACGCTCTAGGGGGTGGGGAGATGTGGCTCTGTGGTCGCACTGGCAGCCACTCCGTCTTTCTCGTTGCTGCGTGGTATCCCATCATGTGTGAGTGTGTGCCTCTGGTTGTTTTGAAACCCTCGTCCCCATCTGACCCCGGAGGACCCCTGGCCCAGCCTCCTTAGCAGCTGGTGCGTCGTGGTTCTTGTGTTAGGTCAGAATGAAAGGATGTTCAAGGACCCGCCAACCCGTGAGTTCTCAACACTTCATTCACCCACGCGGGCTGTTCCTCCTGCTGGGGGATGTTGGAGCTTGTTCCCGTTTTGGGCTTTTAAATAGGCAGTTTCAAAGCTGTGGGGGCCAAGTGCTCACCCGGTAGAGGTGACTTTCTAGCTGAGCTGTGGGGAGTGAATAGGAGCTGGCGGGGCATGGGGCAAGGGATGAGGTGATCAGGGTCAAGGGACCTTGGGTGGCAAGGAAGGCGGACGAGGCCTTGAATGCTAAGCTCAGTGGGCAGGCACCATCCCAGGAGTGCCGGAGCGCTGAGGGCCGGACGCCGGAGGAGACTTGGAGGTCACATGTGTGTTCTGGGTCACGTTAAGCACTGCCCAGCTTCGGAATCCGGATACGTGAGTGAATGCAAAACTTGGACCCATGGAGAATTTTACGTTTAATTAGAATGACATTTAATTAGAAACCAGCAAAGTCCCCAGGGGAACACAGAAGTAGGGTCCCCTACGTGCTATGACCAGGGCCATGGGGGAACGTTTCATGATGGGGAGGGGTGTAGGGGCACTTCCCCTTTCCCTGAGCAATTCCTGGCTCTTTGGGGTGGCGTTTGAGGGGATGGTGCCTGAGGCTCACCTCCCCGTGCGCCGCCGCGTCCACAGGCCTGGCCCCTTGAAAACCACTCTGTTCTGCACTCGTCTGTCCCACACTCCACGGCCCAGCCAGTGCATCTTGTGTCTCCCTGTCCCCGAGAGCCTGCGGCATGCCGGGAGACACACGGCGTCTTCTGGTGACGGCGGAGGTGCTTTCTGGAAGACACACTTTCCTGGTGGAAACTGTCACTGTTCATACAGGTCCTGATGGCTGGAGGCTCTCAGGGTGTAGCACACAATCTGGAGAAACATGCTAACTCAGAGATCAGCAGCTCCCAGCTGGGAATGTGCGTGCATGCGTGCGTGCGTTTGTGTGTGTGTGCGCGTGCACGCGCATCTGGTTGTTTTGAAACCCTCGTCCCCACCTGACCCCGGAGGACCCCTGGCCCGGCCTCCTTAGCAGCTGGCGTGTCATGGCTCTTCCGTTAGGTCAGAATGAAAGGATGTTCAAGGACCCGCCAACCCGTGAGTTCGTGACACTTCATTCATGCCTCAAACAGATGTGAGGGTCTGTGGGATCCTTCCTTTGTGCTCACGAGGAATCTAAAACCCAAGGAACTTGAGTGATTCTTCTGAGTCATGTGGCAGCAGAGCCAGGACCCAAATGCAGGCCTCCCGGTGTAGGGCCCATGCTTCTTCCAGGGGACCAGGCTCAGGGGTCCTGGAAGGATCTCCCTTGGGAACTCAGCCACCAACCCCCCGTTCCTGGGAGGAAACTGTCTTTCCCACTCCCCTCAGACCCTTCTCTTTGGGAAAATCAGTGTGTCTTGTCAGTTTGGGACCGTTTACCCCTCTGGTTTAAGAGCTTCAAAAAGGCCAGAAATTCAAGGGGAACCGTCAAAGAGCAGAGTTAAAGCCACTGTCTCCTGTCCCCTGTCAGTCAGGCCCCAGCCCGCCTCCGTCCCGCTGGGGAAGAGACTGCGGCACTCATCAGAGCTGGTTAAGATCACATCATTAGGAACGGGCAGAAATTCGGGCTCGTCCGACAGTGTGAGTTTATTGACTTGGACTGGTGCACTTATTATATTAATGAGAAGGAATTGGAACTTGGGAAAAGGCCGCCCGGGTAAGCCTGGCTCTTCCCGAGGCCTCTGAGTGGCTGACGGGCCGCGTGGTGGGTGGAAGGAGCCCTCCTGGGGCCATTTGCCCACCGAGCTGAGAAGCATGGGCTCGGCATGGCCCTGCTGCCAGAACCGAGAACCGAGGGCCAGGCCCCATGATGGCAACAGTGCAGAGCCAAAGCCCAGGGCCTGAGGTCTCCAAGATACAGGAGAAAGAGCCCCTTTCCATAGCGAGGTTCTGCACACAGCTAAGTCTTGTGCACACGTTTGGTGGCGCAGGAGATTGAACTAATTGCAGTTGCATCGTGACGCGGGAAGGACTTGGGGGGCGGAGGCTCCTCCAGACCCTGTGTGTGGGTAGGAATTATGCATCCGTTGCATCTCTGCGCACCTACTATGTGGGGATGCCCTGGTGGCAGCCACGTTGCCCCGGCAGCCACCTTGTCTCCGGAGGCTGCTGACCCACGTCAGGGCTTATGCACATCCCATCTCCTCCTGCCTCCTCCTCCCCCAGCCCCCTCCCCGCCTCCGTATTTGCTAACACGAGGCTGGCATGAAAGGGCATTAGTCATGCCATGGCCGGGCTGACAGGTGCGGTACCCAGCGGTGGCAGAGCGGCTGCTTCGGTGTCAGGAATAGGAGCCGTAATTAGAGTGCAGGACAGAATGAGCGTCAGACGAATTACCAGGCAGCAGATCATATTTGTCAGGAAGGATTGCATACATAAAAATTAAGTGACAGTACACGCCGGCATAATGAAAGGAAAATGAAAGATTTGCCTACACACAGCTCACAAGCTACAAGCAAGAGTCTCGCTCCAAGCAACGGCAGCAGCTGCAAGACAAATTGTGGGGCTGGGAGAGCAAAGGCCCTTCCCGCTCCGCGGAGGAGACAGGGCAGCCTCGGGCTGGGATCAGGGGTGGGAGGTAAGGCAGGCTCACACCCAGGCCGGTGCAGGGCTCCACACTGCCTCTCAGGGGGATGGGGGAACAGGTCCGGTTGGGGGGCAACCCCTGTCAGGTAGCTGCGGTCAGGGCATGCTGGCTTTCCCAGGCCGCTGAGCCCCGGCCTGGCTGTGGGGCATAAGTCCCTCCTTCTCGCGTCCCGGAGCCGAACGCCCTGGCCCTGGGCTGGGCCTGAGACGTGAGGTTATGGGGACATGAGAGGATGCAGCCTTCCCTGCTCTCAGGGGGCCCCCAGACTGGTGGGGAGACTGACAGTCCCAGGGTGGTGTTGGGTGAGGGCAGGCGGAACCGTCTCCTGCGGGCCCTCTGTGTGCAGGCACAGTGCTGGGCTCCGTGACGCGGCTGTGCATGAGGAGCCCAGGGTCCACTGGGGGCCTGGAGCTGCCTCACCCCATCCCAGGGCTGCTCTTTACTTCCGTTTTCTATAGTCACTGAACTCGCCAAGGAGGTGGGTTAACAAAGATGACAAGGCTTAAAGGATGTTTGAAAAACATGTTGCTTCTTAAAACGTTATCCCCATAAGGCTTATATCTTCATTTGACCGATGACGGAACTGAGGCTTAGAGAGGTGCTACCACATCCCTGTGGTCCCTGGACAGGCAGGGACTGGAGCCCTTAGGGGGTCAGCAGCTCTCCACGGCACCAGCCGGGAAGTGGGCTTGGGGCCCAGTGAGCTCTCTGGGTGGGGAACACTGACAGCGCCCTGCAGGGAAGGCCATCCAACCTCATAGCTGTGGGCTGTGTGGGACCTGGGGCTTGTCCTGGGCCACAGGGAAGGAGGATTGAGCCTCTCCTGTCATGACAGCGCCCCCGTGAGTGTGCCCATGGCCAGGCGCCCCAGGGGCCCCATCAGTGTGGGCTCAGAGCGTCATGCAGATGTGTGCCTGGCGACCTTCTGCTTCATCCTGGCAGCCCAGGACACCTGGGAACAAGTGGCCCAGAAAACCTGCTTCAGTAGGTGGAGCCCAGGTTCTAAGCGCTGACACCTGGCGGGGGGGGGGGAGATCACCTGTGGCTGTTGAGTGGCTCCTGGCTTGTCTGCCGCATCCCTGGCATTTTCAGGGACACAAACCGTTAGAACAAGATGAGCTGGTGGCAGGGAGGGAAAGGAAGGGCTCAAGGGGACGGCCAATGAGGAATCGACCCGGGCCTAGGATGCAAAGCCCAGCTTGTTCATTCACTGACTCAGAGGTTTGGGCCGCTCGCCCGGAAGGCCCCTGCCCTCTGGAGCTTACAGCCTCGGGGGGGGAGCACTGTTATAATAATCATGTCCCAGGTGGTACCTTGTTTAGTGCTCCAGCCGCCCTGGGGGTGGGAATCATCACAGCCAGTTAACAGGGGAGGAATTCCAGGTGCAGTGAGGCGAGCACCTTTGTGATGCCAGGTGGGTGGTGCTCCAGCCAGAGCCACGTGGCAGGCGAGGCATGGCCACGCCAGGGTTTCCGTCCGAGGCTCCCTGAGCCACCTTGGATGAGTCCCTGATACCTGGAAAACACAGGGTCCTGTGTAGAATCACAGAATCGTGCTACCTGACTCTCATATCTGTTAGAGATGTTCCGTGTGGGAACTAAAAATAGGCAGATAAAACAGTCTGGAATCAAGTCAACGCTGATAAAAGTGCAGTGTTTTCTCAACATCGCTGCTTCTCCAGAGGGCCAAGTGTAGCCTGGCATGGGGTCAGCTGGTAATTAATTTAAGGAGAACTTGATAACAAGTGGCGGCACAGGTGAGCCTGTAGGCGTGTGCGTGTGCATGTATGTGTGTGTGTGTGTGTGTTGCTGCCCAGAGATCCAGAGTTGGGGGAGTGGGGAGAGTTTGGAGTTTGGAGTCGAATGCCAGGCTGAGGACCCGGCTTTTCTCTCTTGAGGGATGAGCCGGTCGGCCTTAGGGGCAGGGACATGGCCCC